TCTTAGGCTTGGGGACTGAGGTCAACAGGGGATACATAAGCCTCCCTCTCCCAAGAGAGCCCTGGCTCAATGATCGCCATGTCCTCTGGAATGATTGGGTAGTGAACATTGTTTTTTAATCTGCTCTATTTCCTAAGGTCACTTCCCAAAAGGAAAGTTACATGTGTTTCCTGTGCTCCATGCACAGGGACATGTCCTGATTCCCTTCCACCCAGTGTCGCCTCTAGCTTCCCAGCTGCCTCGTCTGGGTTGGTATTTTGTCTCAAACATCTTACAGTGCCACAAATTGCCAAGATCACCTCACCCCTAGGATCTGCGCCTTCTGCAGAGTGTGACTGGCCTGAGCAGGCTTTGTAGCCTGGACACACTGAGCTCCACCACTGCAGCACAAAAGCAGCCACAGCTGAGCCTGACTAGGCCAGTCAAGTGCAAATAAACACTGATGTTTGACCTCCAGTTTTCATAGGTCACAAAAGGCTGTTTTCCAACCATTTTTAGCTTGTGAGCCATACAGAAGCCAGGGACATGGAACCTCCTGTGTTGTCCCCATTCTGGTCTCCCTAGTGACATAAGCTGATCACTCGGGCTGACTTGGCTATTATTAAAATTCCCAAAGTCTTTGCTTCAAAAATGCCATTGGACTCTATTTCCAATGAATTGGATCTCTCCCACCCCAGAGGCCCCCAGGTTCCCACTAGTTCATCCCAAAACTGTGCAAGGAGTGGGTAAAGGGAAGAAAGGCCCCTCCTGGAGTTGAGGCACCGGGGGTGGGGTAGGGCTCATGCCTGGAGAATGTTTGACACAAGCCTGAGCAGGTTCTGAGACATCAGTTCAAGATGACCATAGGCACACCCAGGCTGGGCCTTCCAGTCCTGGGAGCTTCATGTTCATTTTCCCAGGTTCATCATCCACCGTCAAGAGCTTGTTTCAAGGGCTTGTTTGTTTTTCTAAGCAACATTTAGCACACATTTTTAAATTCCCTCTGGAACAGCAGTACTTGCCACGACGTCCTCAGCTGTTCCCAGTTATTTTCATGTATGCTTCTGGCAGTGCTGGTCCCAGAGGAGCTTGTCGTGGATGCTGAGTTCATTGTTGACGGTGTCTAACCTCCAACCCCCCCAGCCCTCCAGGGAGATGTGAACACTTCCTGAGCTGCGAGCTCTGCACCCGTTGTTCTTCACAAGCAGATGACTCTAGGCTGTAGACGTGTGGCTGGGCCTCTGTTTTTTATGTGTGTCTCAAATCCTCAGGACTATGTCCAGGAAAGTTCAGATAATTTGGGTTAGAGGATGTAATTTGGCATTGTAACTCCTTCATTCAGCTCTGTTTATGTTATTTCATGTAATATTTACTTGAAAATTATAGTTCGAGAGAAAATGGCTGAAAGTCCACACTATTAGACTTGGAAATTCAGTCTTTCCATCCTCTGTGTAATCAAAAGATTTAAAGGTCAGCACTGTCCATCCAGCCGGACAGCCTGGGGCTTTGTTAACATTTCAGTTGGATGGTATGTGGACATTTTGTGCTTTCCCTTGTAGAGGCTGTTCTGATCTGGAAATGGCTGTAGAATAGCCAACCCTCCTCTAGCTTATGACAGTCTGAAAACCCTGTCTCCCATCTCCCCAACGGACTGTAGCCTGATTCACATGCCATACTCTGACCAAAAAGTCCAGAGGACCCATTTGCATTAGGGTGCCAGTGTCTGATGGATAGTGTCTATGTTGTCCCCATGGTTAGAGGTTTTGAAGCTAGTGCCCCCCTTCCTGCTGTAGAGGAGCTGGTGGTGAGGTTCAGCGGGCACTGTTGGATGGTCATGAACTGGCTGATCAAACACGGAACCTCAAAGGATGAGGAAGGCACAAGACAGGAAGATGGCAGACCATACCAGCCTGGCATATCTGGCAAGGCCCTATCTAAGAAATAACTAAAGCAAAAATGGCTGGAGGCATGGCCAGAAAGAAAAGCACAAGTGGGTGGTTCCTCTTATACAAAATACCCAGAATAGGGAAATCTATCTCTACTTAGAAAGTATGTTGGTGACTTGGCTGGGGGCAAGAGTTTCTTTATGGGGTAATATAAACCTTCTAGAATTAGAAAGTGATGAGGTTGTGCTTATTACCTTGTAAATATACCAAAATCCACTCAACTATGCCCTTTAAAGAAATGAATTTGTTACACAAATATTTTTTTAAATCATTGAGTCAGTGACAGAATAACCTGTGGGAAAACATTCGAGATAAATCAATGGTCTATGGACATCCATAATGCCCACAGGATTCAAGGGTTCACCAGCTACTACCATTGCAGTGCTGTGACTGAAATCTAACACAGAGGCTTTCTGTAAAGCACCAAGCAGCCACGGCACCAGCATGGGGTCTCAGGTGAGACAGACTAGATCAAGTTGCCCGCATTCCCACAGCCATTTTCCTTTCATAAACCCCACAAATGCAAACTCTCACAGATGGCCAGCACCTGAATAAACACCATCTAAATCACAGCCTTGGCATTCCTCAGTGGGGCTCAGGACCTTCCCTGGGGCCCCCACACAGATAGGCTAGTGCCTGCCTGCTGGTTAGAACTCACAAGGCTGGGACAAGACCTCTCCCATAGCACAGCCTTCCAGTACTTTTCCTCCAAACCACAACCATCACACTGTACCCAGAACAGAGTCCCAGGTCTGAGACTGACCTTTGAGAGCCTGGCCATCTAAGGTCCTTTGCAGATCAGGTTTATAGTTTGTTGTTGGCACTAGGGATTAAATTCTAGGCCTCTCACTCCTTTGGCTTTTTCACACTTCCACTTCTGGCTTTTTTCTACTGGAGGTAAGAGTCTATCAGAGTAGTCTGTTAAGAGTTGTCTTCCAGGCTGGCTTTGAACCTTAACTCTCAGCTGTCTGAATAACCAGGATTACAGGTGTGAGCCACTGGTGCTCTTAGATTTATAGTTTTCTGAATAGCCTTTTGGTGTGCAATCATTTTTCCCAGAAGGTATTCTAAGCTATCCTGTACATATCTCTGCCATCAGGTCTTAACCCTTGGCCAATTTGGTTGTCTTTTATCAATGTGAAATACAATGATACCTAAAACTGGGCTGGGAAGGTGGCTCAGTGGTAGAGTGCTTGCCTTGCATGCATGAGGCCATGGGTTCGATTCCTCAGCACCACATTAAGCAGAAAAAAAAAACGGAAGTGGTGCTGTGGCTCAAGTGGTAGAGCGCTAGCCTTGAGCTGAAGAGCTGAGAGACAGCGCCCAGGCCCAGAGTTCAGGCCCCATGACCGACAAAAAAAACAAAAAACAAAAAACCCTAAAATTTTTCATCCCAACTCCTATCCTCTCCTGTGCCAAGCTACCTGTGCACCTCTACTGAGACTTGGACTTTACAGTACTTCTGATTACCTGTGATTGTAACAAGGCTTCCCTCTTAATGTCCACAGGGCTATCCTGTCAGCTCTTAGTTGCTTCCTTCTATTCCTAGCTGCACTCTGGGACAGAGTTACCCCTCAGCAAATGAAGCAGGAGAGATGGAGTGACCTACTATTGCCTTACACAGTGGGACTTTTCACACAAATCCACTTCTTCAGAAGCGTATGCTGAGTGTCTGACCTCTTCCCAATATCAGTATTCCTACTTTGGGCTTAAAAAAATTTTTTTAAAGGGAATATGCTTTCTTGTTTAGTGAAACTTCTCATCTGAATTCTCTTTTGTTTGGGGGGCGGAGATCTGTTCTCTTCCACTTGGAGGCTCAGCCTCAGGCCCCACACTGGAGGCAGCCCAAGCCCCCAGCCCTCCCTGGAGTCCTACAAGCTGCCGCCAAGCACAGCTTGGAAGCTAAACTGCCACGTTCACACACTCTCCTTTACATTCCTCAAACAGTTGTTATTAATTAGGAAAAGGCTGCTGTTTAAAACTTAACCAACACTTTCCACTTAAATCACTGAGGTATATATTTTCTCCTAAAAACTTGTTTTGCTGAAATTAGTAATTATCTGTAAGCGTACACCAGACCCACTCCAGTTTTGGTATCTGGATGTGCTTTCTGTTGGTGGCTTCATGGAGGCACTGGCAGCTGCTCACTGAGACGGAACTGGTTCTTTTAAATGTCTGACGCATCTCTGTCCCCATACAACCTCATTTGCTAAGCTGGTTCAACCCAGCAAGCTCTGGCCCCAGGTCCCAGCCCTGCCCCCCGGTCCCACAGGGCTTTCCAACTTGCTGCCTGCCCTTTGAGGCATCACCTTAGGCCACCATCCCTCCACCAAGCACCAAAAAGTCTTTCAAAGGTTGCCCTTAGGATCTTGCATTGTTGAGTCTGCCATAAGACCTCTCATCTTGCAGTGTGTCCTCAGATGAAAGGACAGGCATTTGGGGGCCACTGTTTCTTACAGAATAGGGCTTCTGTTTAGACATCTATAAAGCAAGCACTGTCATAATGACATAATCTGATATAAGCTCCCAGGATAACAGATGCATAGACATATCTGAGTCATCATGTCATGTGAGAGAACCCTAGCCAAATTAGAAACCTGCAACCAGGAAGTGACACAGCATGTGCTTCCACCACGGTTGGGGTGCCTGGGTGGGGTCCTGCCTATGCCAAGAAGTATACCAGGTTTAGGTGTGTTAGGAGCATTCATTGTGGCAGAGTGGCAACCACTGCCTTCAAAGAGCTTCCTTTTAGGAGGCCTCGATGACAGATGCCAAAACTCTGAACTTCCTGATGGGAAGCGGGTGAAAAAAACTGCCAAGTTAGAATGGAGTCACACAGGGGTTACCTGAGGTGTTAATGCTGGGAAAGGTGACAATAAAGGGAGCCTGGAAACCACAGGGCAGCAAGATGATGACTGGATGGTGGCCAGTGAGGGCAGGGGTTCTAGCAAACAGTATGTATAATACCTAGATCTCAACCCCAAAAGTGTCTCTGACTGGCCAGTCAGCGGCCCTGGTCCCAGCCCCATGCTCCCTCAAGATGATCTGCCTACAACCATTTCTCTCCCCATACAGGACAAGTACCCAAGCACCGTGCACCTCTCAGAGGGGCCCAGCTCACACTGCATGGAGATCCGCAGTGCCAGCCAGCCTGGGTAAGTACACAGCACCATAGCCTTACACCCCTGTGCTGCAACAAAGATGCGCTGTAGAAAAGCTAAACATAAAGCACTGAATGAGGACTGAGCACCATCCATGGGAAGCAATCATAGTAGATACTCAAACTTTGGAAGCAGGCCAACTGTGCTTCACTCCGTAAATTACCTAGCAGAGGAAATTTAGACTAGAAATGAGTGAGGGAAGGAGAGGATGACGAGTGGAGCTGTAAAAGGCCAGCAAGGGATAGCACTCTACCTAACCAGGGAAGATAGAAATCTGTGTATAGATCCACTGTTACTACAGAAATGAAAGACAGGGAGCAGGAGCTCATGGAAAGCCCCTGAGAAGCTAAAAAGGTGGAAAAGCAAGCACCCAGCTCCCCTTAGCGGCTGTTTCCCTTCATCACCCTCAAGCCCATCATTTTCTCTCATCTGCCATCCTCTTGCCTCTGCACGTGCACCTGTGTATCTGTGCACGTGTGCTTCAGAACCTGCATGTGAATGCTCAGCCATGCTTTGTTCTCAAGCCTTTAAGGTTCTTGCCTTCATGTGACTGCAGTTCACTGCTCATCGTCTACTAAGTGAATAGACCAAAATGTCTGTTACATTTTTCAGGCCTGGAGGGCCTGGGCTCTCTGTTCCAGTTTATTTCTCCTGTCATGTTGCATAGAGGTTTCTCCTGGGTGTAGATACTGAAATTCCTGAATCATGGAGTGGTGTGTGCACAGCTGTCAATGCTAAGCCATTGTCATCCCCACCAGCAATGCCTTAAGAGTTCCTGTTGCAGGGCTGGGAATGTGGCTTAGTGGTAGAATGCTAGCATGCATGAAGCCCTGGGTTTGATTCTAGAAGTGGCAGTGTGACTCAAGTGGTAGAATGCTAGCTTTGAGCACAAAGAGGGCTCAGGGACGCGTTCAAGCCCAGGCCTTGGGGCTGGGGGGAGTCCTGTTGTTGCACATCCTCTTGCAGTGAGTACAAAGCTGTGGCCCTGCTTTCCACCATCCTGTGGACTCAGACTTGGTCTTCCTCCATGGACAAGTACCTTTAAAAGCAGGCAAGCCCAGCAAAGACAGACGGAAACCAGGTTGCTTACACGTTTTTGTTTTGTTTTTTGGTCGGTCGTGGAGCTTGAACTCTGGGCCTAGGCACTGTCCCTCAGCTCTTCAGCTCAAGGCGAATGCTCTACCACTTGAGCCACAGCACCACTTCCAGTTTTCTGGTGGTTTACTGGAGATAAGAATCTGAGGGACTTTCCTGCTTTGAACCTCCATCCTCAGATCTCAGCCTTCTGAGTAGCTAGGATTACAGGCATGAGCCACCGGCGCCCAGCCAAGTTACATCTTTTAATCACACTTCAAAAGCACTGGATGTTTGGTCTCTCTCAGGTTTGAATTGATGGTGGTTTGGAGGATACAAATAAATGAAGAAGGAAAGGTTTTGCCAAAGCTGGATCTCCTTACCAAAGTCCCTCACCAAGGTAGGCCTCAGTGCCCAAAGCCACTGTGTGTCTCATCTGGTTTTACATTGTGAGAATAAAAAATTTCATTAATATACTTTAGCTACAAGTTTTTAAAATAAGTTTAGGTGCTTGCTTGCCAATGGCTTACTCTTCTGCATATAAGTAAATTTTGCTCTGCTGAGAAAAAAATTACACACATACACACACACACACTAACCACTCAAAAGGTTTGTCTCCTCTGCCCTCCCAGGCTTAAAGAAGAAAAATTCTAGCCTGGAGCTATAGGTAAAGTTTCCATTCCACTCATCTCTATCCTGTTTGAGGCTTCCATTTTCTGTCTGGAGGAAGAAAGGTCTTGGTGACACAAATACCTTGGTTTATTACCCAGTTTGTGTTTTCTCCACAGCCCTCCAACTGGATAAGAGGAGAGTCATAGAAACTGCTCCACTCAACTTCCGTACCCTACTAGGAACGCTGGGAATTGAAGCTGCTCTAGAGAGCCTGATAAATTGCTTTGTATGAGAAACGGCTAGTTCCCAGAGGGCTAAGATGCTGTGCTGAGTAAGATGCAAGCGACTTAGACTGAACATGAATACTCAGAATCTACACCCTAAGATATGCTGCATGTCTACAGCCATGGTACACTAGATGCAAACTCTGATATTAAAAATACAGCAATTTAAATACAATGTCAAATATTCACTGTTTTTATTTCATTTTTTAAACCGAGTGGTTTTCTGTCCTTGGATAGATATGGAGGAGCTATGCCCTGACCTCCCCCAACTCCTGCCACCAGGCTCTAGGAGTAACTACCAATGAGATTTCATTTCCTAAACATTCCTCCAATCCGAGGGGACCCACACCCAGCCACCAGTCTGCAGAGCAGTATCTCTCACCAAGTCCTGATGTTCTTGGTCTTCCACAAAGGAAAGTAGGACAGTTAGCTTTAAAAACAATGCCCAAGACTGAAGACCTGCTCCCAGGCCAGGAGTGGTAGTCCATGCTTGTAATCTCAGCACTAAGGAGGACTTTAAATTCAAGGCCAGCCTGGGCTATAGCAAGACTGTCTCAAAAGAAAACATACACACACACACACCTGGTTGAGTTTGTGGTTTAGTGATAGTGTACAAGACCTTGGGTTTCACTGCTACCATGCCCCACAGACCCACCATGAGATCTAAGTACACTACCAGCCTCTCATATACAGAACTGAATGTTGATGGACCCTGGACCCTTCAAGTCACCACTGTCAGGACCATAAGCAGTTATTTTCCCCCATCAGGACAACCTGAAGTCTGCGTACAACAGCAAGTGTACACAGCAAGGCTGGGCCCTGCCACAGCAGCTTGGCTGAGGCCAAGGATTCCAGAATACCCTTCTCAGATGCTCAAGAGCATGCAAACTCAGGGCCCAGACCATACACAATGGCATCAGAGCCATCCCAATTTCAGATCAGCCACAGTGAACCACCTCAAGTCAATACTGACAAGATTGCCTTCCCTGCATGGGCTCCACAGGTACAAAAGCATGAATTCCATGCATGTGACTGAGGCGCAATCTCCAATCCCCCATCCAGCATACACAGCAAAACCCGGGGAAAGTGCTAAGTGTTCAAATGAATAAGGAACCTTTGTACACCTGAGTATGGAACAGAAAATATTAGCACAGCATTCTTAAGAAATTCTACAACAACTGGCTTGGTTCAAACAAATGTAATTCTCAAGTTATCACAAAATTTCCCACAAAAAAATTAATCAGCAAAATATTTTCCTCATTTTTCATGTAGCATTTTCATACAATTTCATGGTTTCACTTATGTTACAATAAGCCTTCATTAGTCCCTCAAAACAATGATATAAATAGTCTGTACAAGCTACCATAGAATAAAAAATGAAGCCAAGATTCCCAATGATTTCATAGCAGCCAGGCACACTTTCGGTGACCCCCTCCCCCGCCATCTCCCCCCCCCCCCCCCCCCCCAGTGGCGCCAGCTAGGAGCCTTCAGTGGCCTGCTGGAAACAGCAAGGCCCTGGGCCACACACTCCACATGCCTCCAGGCAAACCGAGAGAACAATGTGGCCTGGGAGGAAAGGAAACCTCAATTCCTCAACCACCCAAGACCCTAGAGTGCCAGGAAAACTCTGGGCTATCAGGCAGGCCCACCACACCCACCCCAGAGCCACAGCAGCAAGTTACAGCTATGCTTCCAGCTTCCACAGCAGCAATTTCAGGCAGGGAAGACACCTTTTCTCCCCTACAGTGAAGATAAAATCCTGAAGCCAAAACAAAAGCAATGCTCATGTGAGTCGTGTCAATCCCAACCCGGCTCCCTGCTGACCCTTCTCAGAGCTGAGGGCTTCGGTACCTCCACAGGGACCCTGAGTCTAGACTACTCAGAACTGATATCCTCACTAATCTCTGATCATTCTGACAGCAGGGAATCACCTAAAGCCTGTGTTGATGTGTGGCTTGCATTGAAAAAGTGACCAGTAACAGCCTGGCAAGTTCCAGTAGTTTCCATGTTTTCTCAGAAGTCCAAACTATCAGATGCTCGTGACAATTCAAGTTTTCTACATCAGGAGTCTGGTAGTAGGAGATCCAAACCTTGGGGCTTACAATAAGGCTTTTCGCATGAGAATTCGACCTGAGCCCTGGCAGGAAGGAAGAACAACTACCCAGGATGTCTTCCCAGGGCTTAACGGACACTTCCATCTTCAGAATGCAGGAGGCTTCTTGGGACACAGCACCGTGTCCTACATTCCTTGTCCTGGAAGATGTTTCTAGTGCTCTCCAATTCTGTGTCTCCAACAAGAGTTAAAAACAAAAGTATTCACAGCCAAAAGTCACCCACCACGATAGAAAATAGCTCTTATCTTTCAACCTTCACATTCCAGTTCAGAGACACTGCAGGAAAAAAGTTAGACCTTATGTAGAACTAATGTGCAGTCTTCACTTTCCTTGAACCTGGTCGACACCACAGCATCGTCTTTGGCATGCACAGTCTTTGTGTAATAGCTGACTATCTTGCTGTCCAGTTTATACTGGTGAGGAATGCTCTCATAGGGCTTGAGGTCGAGGTCCAGCACAGACACAGAGAAGGCCAGCCGGGACCGCGATGAGGCGACGACGGGCCTCTGATCAGAGCTGCAAGTAACAACAGCAATTTCAGCACACACAGGCCCTACAAATCGCCTCATCCCAGCTCACAAAGAGTACCCATTCTGTGTCTGTCTGCATCATGGTTTTGTCTGTGCCAGCTATACGTATGCACTAGCACATGGAGCTTCTGCCAGGTACGTGCCTGCCACGACACGGGCCAGCACACCAGGCCACACCAGAAAAGAGGGTTACAGAACAGGAAGATGGAAAAGCCATTATGCAGAATGCGTGAGTGATATTCCCCACACCCCAGTGGTCTTAAGCAAATGCTGCAAAAAAAAAATCACTTTATCATGAGCCAAGCATTACAAAACCTAAGACAAAGTAAAAAAAAAAAAAAAAAAAAGTAGATCAGGTTCTCCAGCAGCCAAGTGGATGAATGTGGAGAACAGACTTCTCTTTATGTGCCTTTCCCATGTCTGGGAAGAAATGCAAACTCCTTTATGCTTTCCACATTTGGAGAGAGATCTGGTTTCATGTTTTACTTTTATATCTTCAGTGTTCTGTTTTTCAGAGCAAGCTTTTGTGGCTTTTTTCAGAAGTCTGAACCATCACTTGTACTTAAAAATCACTTTCAGAATCACAAGTCTGGTACCAAGATTGCTACGTGCCCTACTTTGCTCAGAGGACTCAACATATATAGTCAGCACAAAATGAAGTCCAAGAGAAGTGTTCTGGGATCTGGGTATAATGTTGCAGGCCTGTTATCCCAGCACTTGAGGCTGAGGTAGGAGGATCAAAAGTTCAAGGCTAGCCTGAGCTAAATGAACATAATTTGCACCTATCAGGCCTTGAGTCTCATTCTGGAAGCAACTTGCTCAGTTACTGAAAATTGCTAAACTGTACAGTCCTGGGGATCCAGTTAGCTGGGCTGAAATAGTCCACATGACTAGGACAAGGACTCTGTAGCTTAAAGGACATCTCAATTTCTCAGGTCACAAGCAGCACCAAAATGACACAAACTGAGACATGAAGGATCTTCTAAGAATCTGGGGAGGGTCTGCCTGTGGTCAGTCACAAGCTCCACATGAGACAAGGCCAGCAGCCAGCATACACCAGCCTGTCACACCACAATGCTTGTCTGCACCTGCTGCCCTGAGATTAAGCAGGGACTCCCAGGGACACAGGTGTCCCTCTAGTAGCTTCAGACACAAGCAGAGATAATCTATCTGCAGGAGAGCTGCTGCCCTTGCCTGGATGGACAACCATTCTCCAGAGCACTGACCAGCTGGGAGGGTGGCCAGGGGGACAAGCAGACAAGCCAAAGCTGCAGCCACTGCCCAAGCTGTGTTTGGAACAGGAAATCAAGAGGAGCTGAAGGATTTAGGAACAGGTGAACAGCTCTCCTGGTGGTTCCAAAATCCCCAAACACCTGCAGCAACAAGAAAGTAGACTTAAGACTTTCTTAATTACGAAAGGAAGAAATAGCATTGGTGAAGCCTTTAAGTGGTATAAGCTTATTATTGTACTCAGCCTGTCAGCTGTAAATTAAAATTTAAGGATCTAAATTCAGCCTTGGGTTTACTCCGCATCTCATAAATGCAAAGATGACTAAATTGGTCTGTGGGTTCCCCAAGTGTCACACTCCAGGCCAGGTATAGACAACCCAAGCATCTGTTCCAGCCTTGTAGATTTTCTCTGGGGAGAAGCCATAGGTAGGCGCAAAGCCCCTTCCCTCAGCCACCACCCAGAACCCGCTGAAGCCCCTTCTACCAGATGCATGTATGCAGCAGTGGGATGTCTTCAAGGGTCCTTTCCACTTTGCAAGGCCTCTGCGAGCCTCTGGCTCTCAGCCCATCACCACAGCGTGGTCCCTACTCTGGCCTGGAGACTGGAGCATAGCAGGTGAGGCACCTTAACAGGGCAAGGCCCACTCTTCCTCTTCAAAACCCTCTGCAGAATTTCCAGAATCCATCCCTCTTCAACTATGTCACCGACTTCTAAACTTTCATAAGGTTAACTTCTCCCAGATAGATCTGGGAGATGGTTCTGGTTCATATTTAAAGTTAATATGTACATTTTTGAAATAGTTACATTTTAACATTAAGATTAATAAGAATGGAGATCCATTCTTAAGCGTTTCACACATATGGATTTAAGCTTTGCTTTGTCTTTACTAAGTTTTTGCCTATCTTTAAATATACTTCATTTTTATCAGTTCAATTTTATCCTAAAATTAACTCCTGAGCCTGGCAGAATGAAATGTTAAAGGACAAAATGGGAATAGCAAAAATAAGCAGGGAGGAGTTGGCGCGGCTGGAGGGGAGGGAGGGGAGGAAAGTGGGAAAACAAGGGAAGGGGTAACAATGCTCGACAAGAACTGTACTCATTGCCTTACTCATGTAACGGTAACCCCTATGTACAGCATCGTTACAATAAAATTAAATTTAAAAAGTAATTGAATAAGCAAATGGCAGCACCCCAATTCAGCCACTTCCTAACTTTGCACAGTCTGTTGTCACATCAGAAGCCTGCTACATGTGCTTTCCTCTTTCCTGTACCGGCACCGCAGCGTTCGAGACTGCAGAACACCAGTTCCTGGAAGCCAGAGGGCCATCAACACACCTGGGGGAGACGCACACCAGGTGGCTCTTTTCCCTCATCTTGCCAACTTCACAAAGGCAAAAGGGGCCGTCAGTCCAGTTGTGTCTGTCAAGTCTGAGCCACTGTTGGTCTTTCCCTATTTTTTTAAGTGTAAACCTTAAAGGACAGACAGAGTGTTTTGTGAGCAGGGTGATTCCAGTCTCTCCAGCCCAATACAAGAAGCTCACATGGCTAAGAACCTTTGACATGGACTCTCTCCTCCCCACCCAGCAAGTGGCAGTTTCCACACTCTGGCTCAGGGTATGATGGGAAGGAGCTCAGCCCTCATGTCTCTACAAGTGACACACTGATGAAGGGCATGATCAGCATCTGTCTTTGGGGGACCTTGGACATCCAGGCAGACTTTGGCAGTGTGAGCACCCTACATTCAAACACCTGCCATTTCCCAGCTGCATCCCTGGCCAGGCAGGTTAAAGGATAGAATCTTCATGGTGGCTCTCATCTAACACAGTAGCTTTTGCAGCTGAGGGAGGCCTAGTACCTAAGCACTGGGGGATAACGAGAGTTTTCAACTAAATACAATCACCTGTGTGCTGGAGTTATGCCCTTTCCTCAGAGAGGAGCTGTGGCTCAAGTGGTAAACCACAAAAGGTAAGGGACAGCACCAAGGGCCTGAGTTCAAGCCCAAATACTGGCACAAAAATGTTCCTCAGCTTGTCACATGAAAGAAGACAGGCCTCATGGGAACAATTTAGCTCAAAACCATCAGAAAAATGGGCGGGCATTAGTGACCAAGGAACATGTGAGAAGAATGCAGAACATCCCAAAGGACCATGTGTGGGGTAGGTATCTCTGGTGAACAATAAGGAAGCTGTCTGACCACAACGGGCTCATCGTGAATTCCTGGAAAGGCAAGGACGGAGACTGCAGAAAGCAACAGCCCTCAGTGAGGGAGGCTGCAGGCATGCCAAGTAAGCCACTTAGTCAGGACAGGAGGCAAACAATGGAGGTAATATTTAAAGGGTTTAGCCGTGATGGTGACAGAAAAGTCAGCACATCCCAGTGAGCTAGCAAAAGACTAGAAGGACCCACACGGAGCTCTGCCACTTCAGAGTTAGGAGCTTCGGCTGGAGTGGATGCAGGTTCTGTGAAAGGATTCTTCCACTTCACCCGCACTCCTCTGTTATTTAAAAAAAAAAAAAATTCTCCACAAGAGTCTAAATTATAAGTTTTTAGAGAACAGGCTTTAAGCCCCATGAGGGCTGGGTCTGTAGGCCTGGGGTAAAGTATGAGGCCCTCGTTTGATCCCCAGGGCCCCAAAATAAAACCACATGGTACCACAGAGCCCAGAATGTGCTGGTCCTGCCAATCAGGGTTTCTAAATGCGGGGAGCCTCCTTGTCCTATTACTCCACACACTGTCACCCAAGGACAGGTGGCACGCGCACCCACCTCACCTTGTATCCTGCAGACAGGGGGAGAGCGCGATCATGATAGAGCAGTCCTTGGCAGTCATGGCAACTCGGTACTGCTGCACCTGTGGGGAAGGACACATCATCTCCTGGTCATATGCCGCCACCAAAAACAACCTCCCCAACAGTCAAGTGTGGAAGTCCGCTCTTGTGATGCAATCTGGGATGAGGTTATGAGACTGGCTGACATGGAGCAAGGGTGTTTGTTGTTGTTTTAATGGCAGGGGAGGGGGGTCCTCTCCTGTGGCAATGCCCAGCACACCAGCCCTGCCCTCTGCCCTCACAGTGCAAGCAGTACCGGGAACCCAATTTCAGCCCTGAAACTGAAGACTTGTCATCAGCAAGGTCTTTAGAAGAGCAAGCAGGGGGTTGCTTTAGCTCTCCAGTACCTTGGCCACACTAAGAGGATGGAGCAAGCTGCACGCCAACCTTCTAGAAATTAGGCATGCAGTCTAACCACCATGGGTTCACTGCAGACAACTGAATCGCCTGCAGGTCCCACTGTACAGACAAGAAAATTAGGCACAAAGAGTAACTTGGCCAATGGCAGGGCTGACCCCAAGCCAGGAGCCAGGGCTCAAAGTCTGAGCTCTTCTACAGCATGGTATAGACAAATGAAGATCTGCCCTGGGCTTACAGCAACACTTGCCAGGACCCACAACAAGCTCATGCCACAAGCACACAGGGAGAGCCAAAGGGAAAGTCACCACCTGCAGCACACATTTCCTTTCCTTCTTTGGGCTTTGATATAACACACACACACACACACACAACTAGGACTTGAACTCAGAGCCTGGGCGGTGTCCCTAAGCTTTCCTGCTCTGGCTAGTTTCAAACCACAATCCTCCGAGCTCAAGCTCCTGAGTAGCTAGGATCACAGGCATGAGCCACCGGCACCTGGCTTTCATTTAGATAGTTTTAGATTGGATAGGCCTCCACATGTACAATGGGATCATACCTCCTGGGACGACACACCCGCAACCTCGGGGACAAAGGACAGAAGTAGCTCCAAGCACACACACATCAGGCAGCCTGCTGCTCCTGGGCCGAAGAAACTGATCAGCAGTAGAGAACATGCAACTCTTGCCCTTCACCCCACCCACTTAGCAAAGACATTCTTTTATATGATACACATACAAACCCAGTAAAAAAAAAGAGCTAAATACAAAAAGCATGTAACATGAGCTGGGAAGGTGGCTCAGTGGTATAGCGCTTGCCTTGCATGCCTGAGGCCCTGGGTTCAATTCCTCAGCACCACATAAGCAAAAAGAAAAAAGCCAGAGTGGTGCTGTGGCTCAAGTGGTAGAGCACTCACCTTGAGCTGAAGAGCTGAGGGACAGCGCCCAGGCCCAGAGTTCAGGCCTCACGACCGGACCAAAAAAAACAAAAACATGCAACAGCCAGGCGCTGGTGGCTCATGCCTATAATCCTAGCTATTAAGCGGCTGAGATCGGAGGATTGCGGTTCAAAGCCAGCCCACGCAGGAAAGTCTCTGAGACTCTTATCTCCCAATTAATCACCAGAAAACTGGAAGTGGCGCTGTGGCTCAAGTGGTAGAGTGCTCGCCTTGAGCTGAAGAGCTGAGGGACAGCGCCCAGGCCCAGAGTTCAAGCCCCACGACCAACAAAAAAAAAAAAAATCCAGGTAACATTCAGCATGTTTTTAGTGTACCTTCTAACCAAGATATAAACCAAAAGCTACAGAAGACTCATTCTTAAAACTAAAGGCCTTTTATATATTACTAATCCAAAGGACAAAGACAAGTGAAACGCAAGAAGAAAATATGTATAACATAAAACAAACATTAAGACTATCAAAAGTTAAAAAGATCAATACATTTATCTGTTTGGTTTGGTTTGTTTTGAGACAGGGTCTCATGGTCTCTTCTGGCCTCAAATTAATGGTTTTCTGCCTCAGCTTTCCAAATGCTAGGATTTAGGTATATCCAACCATGCCTGGCTTAACATGTTAGAGATCAATATGGAAAAAGAAAACTATGTATAGAAGTAGTTAGACAAATTTATAGAAATTTCATGCATATTTTATATATCAAAGTTATACACACATAGAGATAATTATAACAGTGAAATATTTTCCTCCTTTCAAATAGGTAAATTTTTGTCTCAAGACAAAAAAATGAAGTGGTAGGATTTTCACTGAGTAATGCTGGCATAGGTAGTTGGACCAACTAAAGAAGTAGAACAAAATATCAAGAAATCTGCTTAAAGGCAGAGCTACCAAGACAGGGAGGGTGGATATTTCCAAGAAAGGGGTAGGAAAATTCTGGAGGCTTGGCTGAAGAACAGTTTGAACCAACCTGCAGGGCAAACAGAACAGGACCATCATGGACCTCTTTTGAGTTAGTACCCCAAATGCAGCCCCTTTAAAATGAAAGGTGAGCCAAAGTTGACAGGTCCTCCAGGACCCTGGAGCTTCACTTGGAAGACATCAATCATCTAAAGTGGATTCAAGTGACTCCAGCTTGCTAGTGTTTTCCAGTCCTCTTGGCAGAAGCTGCCTGAAATCCCTTCGGGAAAAAGGTAGGATCCTAGATCTCAAGTTTTTTCTAAAGCAATCATGCAAATGCAATTTCTGGCATCCAAGCAAAAATATGCAAGCATAAGAAGACAGGATGACATGATGAAAGCCAGCAAAACAAGAAGAAGAGAACAACAGGGGCCTGGAGGATATGAAAATCTGTACTTTCCACTCGATTCTGCAGAGGACTGAAAAAAAAATTAAAACAATCCAGAATAGTAGAAAAAAATAAAAAGATTACACACAGGACTCCAACTGCTGGAGTGCCAGACACACATGCTCAAAGAATTCAAGACAAAACAACTTTAGAAGAGAACTGGAAACTATAAAAATGGACCACTGAGTAGAAGGAAGATTTTGTTAATCTTTCTGAAGCTAAATCTGTTATTCAGGATCTGCTCTTTTTATATGTTATACATATCGCTTTATTTTACCTAACTTACTGGTTGACTGTTGAAGAGACTGGGACTTCTTTGAGTTACTCTAGGGTATGTAAAATAGTGTCTTTAAGGTTGTTCCTTGCCTTGATCTACTTCATTTTGTAAAGCAATAGTTTCAACCTAAACTACTCCATTTTGAATATATTTTGAGTAGAAGTGCCAAAACACAATTACTTTACATCTTATTTTTATAGGTAAACTACCACCATCTGTCAGCATACCATAAGACACAAACTTATCATTTATTTATGCCAATAACCAATATATCAGCAGATATATTGTCTTATCAGAAATTCTCAGCCTATAAACTTAACTAAACACACCAGCCCAATGATTTGCATAACTCCCTCACCTGAGACATATAAAGGAGGGACACCTAGCACCGGGACACAGCAGCACACACTCATCTGGCTACCGTAGGACTATCCAGTGTTTGTGTGATCTATGCTTTGTCAACTCTGTCCCAGGGACTTTAGCTCAGCTCCATACCCTGCTTGACATGACCTGGACTCAGCTTTGCCCTTGAAGCGCCGGAGGCACACTGCCTTCTGACACCACTCATCCTCAACAGCTCTGTTCCTTATTAGCATCTGATATGACACCTGCAGGGACTCAGCTGCATCCACTCTCAGCTCTTGCCCTGGGCAAGGCCTCTGTGAACCCTCCCTGGCCATCCTGCAAACTTCATATTATTGTGATACATAATGTGTGATCTGAGATTAATATTAGTAATTAACATTGGAATAAAGAACCTGTGGCCAGGTACCGGTGGCTCACGCCTGTAATCCTAGCTACTCAGGAGGCTGAGATCTGAGAATCGCAGTTCAAAGCCAGCCCGGGCAGGAAAGACCATGAGACTCCTATCTCCAATAAACCACCAGAAAACCGGAAGTGGCGCTGTAGCTCAAGTGGTAGAGCGCTCGCCTTGAGCTGAAGAGCTGAGGGACAGTGCCCAGGCCCAGAGTTCAAGCCCCATGACCGACAAAAAAAAGAAAAAAGAACCTGTGTTGTTATGTAACCTCAGAAGTTCTTGGCAAATTAACATCAACAAAATTGACACTATGTCAATGTGTTATTCAATAAAATCTGATATTGTGGACAGAGTCAATGTTTCTGACATAGCTCACTGTTAACTGTATTTCTACTAAGGTACTAGCTGACAAATGGACCATCTGTGGCACTCTTAAGGAGCAATGCAGTAAAGACAGCATGTTTAAGAAAACTACTTCTCTAGCCCTTTGAGACACCGTTTACTCTCACTTCACATATGCCAACATCTTAAAAAGACCAAGTAACAGTTTACTGAAATTAAAATATAATTAAAAACAGATAAAGCATATCACATTAAATGGTGCTTCAATGAGCTCAAAATTCTTGACAAAATTCCTGTTAAGGCTATTCACTTCATTATTCCTATTAGCAACTATAAGAGCCTTCTAGTTTTTTGTCAGTCGTGGGGCCTCAACTCTGGGCCTGGGCGCTGTCCCTCAGCTCTTTAGCTCAAGGCTAGCACTCTACCACTTGACCCACAGGGCCATTTTCAGTTTTTTCTGCTTATGTGGTGCTGAGAAATCTAACCCAGGGCCTCATGCATGAGAGGCATGCACTCTACCAATGAGCTACCTTCCCAGCCTCGCTTCCAGTTCTTTTTGTTTTGTTTTTCTTCCTAGTGTCAGTATTTATGGCTTGAACTCAGGGCCTCACAATTCTTTTTTTTTGGGGGGAGTCCGGTCGTGGGGCCTGAACTCTGGGCCTGGGCGCTGTCCCTCAGCTCTTCAGCTCAAGACTAGCTCTCTACCACTTGAGCCACAGCGCCACTTCTGGCTTTTTTTTTTTTCTTTTTGCTTATGTGGTGCTGGGGAATTGAACCCAGGGCCTCATGCATTGCAAGGCAAGTACTCTACCACCGAGCCATCTTCCCAGCCCAGGGGCCTCACAATTCTTGATTGGCTTTTTTTTTTAATCAAAGCTGGAGCTCTACCACTTGAGCCACAGCTCAACTTCCTAGCTTTTTGATGGTTTATTGGAGATTAAGAACCTCTTGGATTTGTCCACGTGGGCTAGTTTCAAACTGGGATCCTCAGATC